TCCTGAGCACAGCTTTTGTTTTGGCAAGTGGTATAATAGGAGATCACTTGTGGCAGGGAAAGACGGTAGCACTGAACTCTACCAGAGTGCTGAAGGTGAGTCCATAGTCCCAACCTCAGCCTCGCAGGAATGTTCATTTCCATCTGCCATTTTCATTTCTATTTGTGCCTTTCTCATTTGTGAGGTTGCTTCCCTTCTATGTCCCCAGTTCGATTGTCCTCTGCAAGACTACTTTGTTCTTGTCTCCCTTCCTTGCTCTTGGTGTTTGAGGATGAAAGCAGCCCTTGATGGCTGGTTTCCAGCCTTATCCTAAAAACAGCATCATCTTTGCCACACGCATTATCAGGGAGATGATAGAGCCAAAGACTGCCCCTTTCCTACTCTTCATAGTTCCAGTGTGCCAACTCTTCATAGTTCCATATCAGTGTGCCATCTGAATCTCACCTCATAGCCTTCTCCTGCATGAGGAGACCTGGCTTCCTAGGATGGGTGTGATGTTTCTGCAAGAATTCTTGTAAAACAGTTGAGCACAAACTGAAAGGCACTGAAGTAGGTGTAAATGTATATTCTGTTCATGTCCATTTCCTATTCATTTAACATTTTGCTGAAGCAAAATAGGGCTCTGGGTGTGTAGTGCAACACCCACCCCACTGACCTCCAGGACAGAGTGCTCAGGGCTGGCTTTGTAGTCATGAACTTAGGCCTCCATGACCGTAGATACTACTACCCAGACTCCCCTAGTAGCACCTGGAACCTGATCCCGAGGTCACACAGATGAGGCTCGGTTGGTTGGGAACAAAGCAGGTTGCTTCTGTATGGCAGGAGTTATCTCCCTTGTCTGTCTCTTTATACTGTCCCTCATCTAGACTGGTGACATTTTTCCTGGTCCCTTCTCTTTGGTAGGGGTAGTCCCTTGCTGCTGTGCTCACTCTGGATGTTTGCTTCTCGGTGACTAGCCACTGTATTCAAGTGGCTGCCTGCAATGCCACCTTCAGCTGCAGTCAGCTTTTTCAAGTCTTTGTCCACTGCTACAGCGGTGGAAGAGGTAGCATTGAAAAAGGGTTTCATTATGTAGCCTAGGCTGGCCTCAAACTGTCCTGTGTCTTAAATGCTGGGTCTATAGGTATGAAGCACCACCAGCTACCACTGCATTTTAATGATACATTTGTAATCCAGCCATGGGGAACTCTAGGGTAAGTATCTTCATTATTGTACCACATAATGAAGATAGAGGAAATACTTGCTGAATGAGTAATGTAATATACACAAATCACTAGCCCTGAAACACATTTCAAATAGTTATATTTGGTGCACAAATAAACTACCTCTCATATTAAAGCCTGAAAGAGCACCTGAAAGAGGTGTCATTACTAAGACCTTCTGTGCACCTGCCATGGTTCTGAGCCCTTGTGTATATTACCTAACTCTAGTCCTAAAACTTCCAAAGGTATAGATCTGTTATCCTGGATGGGAATCTTGGAACATTGAGCAGTGATAACTAGTGAGCAGTGATAACTAGTGAGAATCAACACCAGGACTAGAACCCAGACCCTAGGATTCTCTATAGGTCATGTTCTCTGTCTGCCCTTCTTCAGGGGAAGTGGACTATAGGGAATAAAGTAAGGCTTGCCTAGAGCTTCAAGGGGCTTCTGGTTAGTTAGGCAGCCTGACAGTATAATTGTCCATGTCACAGGTCTGAAAACCATGGTGTCTTTACACAGCACGTTGGTAACATTCAGTCTTAATGGGCCTAAACCAACTTAAGAACCCAAGAAGTTTTCCTCGTAATAGTGGCCATTGCTGTTTTTATTGGGAGAGCTACCAAGGACAGTCCCCTCAAAATCTAGAAAAGACATGGAGCCAGCATCATGACAGTTTCTGACTCTGATGGGAAGTTTGTAGAAGTTGTTGAAGAGGAACATGGTAATTGTTTATCTATGATTTGCTCATCAAACTTGGAAAGCCCATAGGCTTCAGCACAACGCATAAGTAGTCTGAAGAGGCCTGTGGGAACTAGGGACTGTGATGGGTCGTTAGGCAGCTCATTGCTTTTCTGTTAAACAGGAAGAAGATGGTGGGGTTAAAAATACTAATGATAGTAGTAGAAGTGAACCATCCTAGGGTCACTAGTGATGAGTCCAGACAGGGTAAGGACTGCGAGATTTTTGGCAGGAAACACTCAAGTCATATTGATTGGTATATTTTGCTCATTTCTTTTAAAAATCTCGAATTCCAACAACAACCAGAGTTAAAAATCTACCTGTCAGTTTTAAAAGTCACTGGGAAGGATAAATAAGGAAGCCATTCAGATAGGCAAAGGATAGGCTGATGTGAGCATTTGGCTTAACAAGATGGTGTCCAGCATGACTGAGATTGGCTTACTCCGGAAACATGTAGATTTCCTTACATTCTTAACTTGGCAACTACTGCACAGTACCTGGAGAATTAAAGCCAAAGTTAGATAATATATACTGTTTGCTCTTGAAACTCAAAAGCTGTCTTATTTTTGACATGTGTTAGTGTTCGTTATAATTTTAAACGACAAAGGCAGCCTTTTATTAGAATAAGCACTCCTAACTGTTCTGACTTGATGCCTGGCTATTAAAAGAGTATTAATATATTTAATATTGATTTATATTTTAATAAAGCAGTGGTTACTCTGTAGCCAGCTATATACCCAAATAACCACACAGAGAGACTAGAATTTATTTAATTAGCCTAGAGCACAAGGCTGTGCAATAATTACTCCATCCTAAACCTTCAAGCTAGTATAGCTTCCTCCCATTCAGATTTCCCATATTATACTTGCTTTTTAATCATATCCTAAGTCCATTTCACTTCTCCTGATGTTTCCCAGTCCTCTCCTCATGGATCCATCCTGCACTTCCTCTCCATTCTCCTCCCCTCACTTGACCAGGATGTCCCACCCTATTCTCTGTATTGCTCAGCATTGGCTGTGATTGGCTTTTTATTGGCTATATAGAGAACAAATGGTGACATATTTACACAAACTTGAGATGATTAGAATAAACATCACAATGCAATGTGATATGAAACCAGATAGTGGGGTAGAAAAATGAGCATTTGAATGAACAAGGGTAAACTACACAGTCCACAAGAACATTATGCCAACACCTGGCATTGCTGCTTGGCCTTCCTGGGTGATGTTTCCTTCACATTGAGTGAGTTCCATCAGCAACTGATGGTGAAAGTATACTTAAGGCCCATGAGCATTTTAATTTTAAAATTTTAATTAGCGGAGATTATTAAATGCAGGCAGGGGAAAAAGACAGAAAAAAGTCATTTTTGAAATGAATTTCAGTATAACTTGGCTTTTTATAGAACTGTCAGAGTTTTAATATGTTTGTGCTAGGGATGTTGATGTATGACTGTGATCCCAGTACTCAAGAAGCTGAGGCAGGAGAATCACAAGTTTGAGACCAATAATAATAAATAAGACTCTACACACAAACACGTGTATGTATGTGTCAGAGAAGAGACAAAAGAAATTTGGTTTGCATGGAGACTAGTCATTGCAACAGTGACTCAATTTTAAGTCCTAGACTAAAAACTTCAAAAAATAAAATTTCCGCTGTGTTCATATTTTTGTGTCAAGGAAGCATGCTTGGTTAATAAATTTATAAGCATAAAAGTTTACACATGTATAGTTCTGGAGCTAAGTGGGATAGTGTTCAATTCAAGAAGAAGTGACAAGTTTTGCAGTAGTCCAGCCCCAGCTTAAAACTGCACAGACCTAAAGAGACTGTGGACAGAGACACCAGCAAATCAGCTGAAATCGTAGTGGTACCACCTCTCTCTGCATTGAGGGGAGCTCAGTCTCTGCTTCTAACATAGGCACCTTGTTCATCAACCTGGTTAATATTTGTGCTTTAAGAAAGACTTCCTCCTGTCAGCCAGAGAGCATGCACAGGACAGACCTAGGCCCTCTGCATATCTGTAACAGCTGCTTATCTGGGTCTTCATGTTGAACTCCTAAAGTTGGAGCAGGGGCTATCTCTACATTGCCTGACTTTGGACCTCTTTTCCCTAACTGGGCTGCCACGTGTAGCCGCAATAGTTGAAGATGTACCTAGTCTTATTGCAAGTTGATATGCTAATGCTGGTTGATATTCTTAGGAGGCCTCCTCTTTTTTGAGGAGAAAGGGAGGAGGGGTTGTTGGTGAGGAGAGGAGATGAGAGGGAGGGTTAGGAGGAAAGGAGGGAAGAGGAAGTTTCGATGGGGTGTAAAGTAAGTAAATAATTCATAAAAGAAAAAAGAGAGTTCCTCAGTCCCCACCCACCCTGGGAGAAAACAGGGTATGGGCAGGAAGAGGCAGAGAGATTCCCTGTGCCCAGGGTGTCAAAAATAAGCACAACACACTTGGTATGCCACTCTCACAAGTCGCTGGTAACCTTCAGGAATAAGGTTAGCAGGTTCATTGCAGCTATGGGCCTTGCAGATCACAGGTCTGCAACTAGAAGGCTGGTCTGGGTGGTAAAGCCATCTACTGTGGCACACCTTTGTATGCTTTTGGGTCTCCCACCAGGAGCTGTGGGGGTATAGGGATGAGGCAGGACATGGCTCTCAGAGAAGTACCTTGTGTCAGGTTTTGTAAGCTTTCCACTAAATCTCATGTCTCTTTTACTTCTTTCTTGCGTCATGAAAATTCATTTGGAATAATTTTCAAGTCAGCGAAGCAGGTCTGCTGAGCCCCAAAGAGGTGGCTGAGCCTTCAGTGACCAGTAAGAAAGGAAGCAGAAAAATTTCCTTATGATTGTTAATTTCTAATGTTATTTTGTTGGTGGTGGTTGTGGTGGTTGTGATTGTGGTAGTAGTGTTGGTTGTGGTGGAATTTTCTAAAATTTCTTTGGAAAAAGTTTCAACTGGGATGATGGGAACCATGAAGATTCTTCCTTACAGGTTCTCAGTCAGGGCCAGAGCCCAGCTAGTAAAGCATGTGTTGAATGTGCTGTTTTTTATCTGCTTTGTTTTTTATCAGGAGCCTCTGAGTCTGCTCATAGGAAAATGAAAGGTGGTATGGTCAACCCTCCTCATGTCCACTCAGGCCAGCACAGTTGTTTTTGTGGAAACCTCATGGTACCCAGTGGAAGTCAACCAGCAACAGCCCCTGCAGCTGGGCTGCACTGTGTCCAGATCCCTGTTGTGCAGGTAGGAACCAGCCATGTGGATGGTGAGGTCTGTAGGGCAGGATGGTGGAGGGGTGGCCACTGTCCTCTCAGTAAACGTCCCCAAGTTCTATGTCCTATCCCAGCCATCTTAATAACCCCAGCCTCTCTCTTCTTCCCAGCCTGTCTCACTGCATCTGTGCAAGCCTTTGCCTTTGTTAGGACTGACGTATCAGGTTTGTGGCACTGTGTTACCCTGGGTCTAGTTCCCTCAACCTGGTCCATCTTCCCCACCTCCCTTGGAGGTGCACATGGCACGTGCCTCTGTCCTGCCAAGGCCTGCCTGGTATTTTCTTGGGCAGGTTGGAGGCATTTGAGACTGCCTAAGCTGGAAGTCTCACAGCTGCTGGTATTTACACTGCCCCCACCCACCCACCCACCCAGACGCTCCTACAAGCTCTCCTAAAACTACTCTGGCCATGCTTCTGAGCACCATTCCCCGTACACTAGCTACTGCAGGCTTTCATGAGAAAGTGGTGGGGCCTCTTTGATTTTTCTGCTTCCTTTCTTACTGGTCACTGAAGATAAGGCTCAGCTACCTCTTTGGGGCTCAGCAGACCTGCATTTGACAGTCCATCTCTGGGGGCTCACTTCCAAGTCACTTAGCAGCCCCATACATACCTGTACTCCCAGGCTTACCTCTGAGGAGGTGGAATGGAAGCTGAGGGATCTGGCTGTATCAGGGCCAGGTCACACTCACCTACATGTTGCGCAACACTTGAAGCTATAGATGAAATGAAACTTCAGCAGGCCAGTACAAATCTGCATGTCAGAGACTGAGGAGGGAGCTGCTCTGTTACTTCAGAGAGCTTAGAGACAGGCAAGATGCATCTGGGAGAGGGCCATGGAGGAAAGAGGTGGGGACTGGGGATAGAAGGCTGTGGAGTGCTTGTAGGGCTTAGATAAATGGGGGGCAGGTGGCAAAGGATGACCTGGGAAGCAGGAAATAAAAGGGTTCTAGAGAAGAAAAAAAAAAAAAAAAAACAGGTGAAAGTTTGGAAGACAAAGACTTAGGCTTGTGTGTAGAAATGAGCTGAAAAGCATGCTCCTCCCTCCTGGTTTGACCCAATGGTAGAACAGCTTGGAACTGTAGAGATAAAGGACTCCGTAGAGATAGGGGCAGTAAAAGGAGTGGGAGGCCTGTCCCAGAGGAGCACAGGTGCAGTTTCCAGGTCAACCTGCAAAGATGTCTGCAGGGCTGAGGTTGTCGAGTGGAGAGACTGTAGGAAAGCTGCCACCACAGGCAGAAAAGGAGCCCTGTACTGGATGTGACTCTTTCATCTGTCCCTTGAGAGCTAGTGTTGTCTTGGGCAAGTGGCTTTAGACCCTAGCGTCAGTACTGTTGTCATAAGATGGAAACAGTAGTACTCAGAAGGTCTTTGGGGCAGTGGAAGGATGGGATGCAGCAGCACAGAATGCTTAGTTTGGGGTGGTGTGCAGCTGTAACTGAATGCACACATGAGAACGAAAAACCAGTCTTTCCTAATTAGCTTATGGGGACCTGGCAGCCTCCTCATCTCAGGATGCTGTCTGCTCTCAGGTCTCTATTTAGCCCATGGGTAAGCCAGGAACAGAGAGGCCTCCTCATAGCTTGAGAAGTTATTAGGACATCCTTGAGTTTAGAATGCTGTAGGAGAAAAGGTATTGTTGGGGCTGGGGACCATTTGTAAGTGTTGAAATAATGAACATAGAGGAGCCAGGCAATAGCACATTCCAAAGTAAACTGAACCTTGAGCTGAGCTCAAAGTGAGAGAGATGGAGGGGCCAGTGTGTAATAATTCTTGATGTTGCCTCCCCAGGATGAACCCTCAGGTGAAGGAGGCTTGCCACTGACCCTCAGCCCTCAGCGCTCTGCCTTCCACCCCTACTTCACTGTGGATCTGCCTGTCTACGTCCTCCAGGTCTGGATGCCTACATTTCTTGCTCTTCTCAATAGAACTCATCCCAGGTTTCCCATGTCAGACTGTGGCAGCTGCTGCCACAATGGGCCCCTAGAGGCCCATTAGGTTGCTGGTCATGACAGCCTACCTTGCACCTTTTTTAAAAAGGTTGTCAAGGTCACCTCCCCCTGAGGGGGGAGCAGCCTTACCAGGCCACAGAGGAAGACTATGAAAGACAGTCCTGATGAGACCTGATAGGCTAGGGTCAGATGGAAGGGGAGAAGGTCCTCCCTCATCAGTGGAGTGGGGAAGGGGCATGGGAGGAGATGAGGGAGGTAGAAAAGGTGGGATTGGGAGGAGATGAGGGTGGAGCAACAGCTGGGATACAACGTGAATAAACTGTAATAAATAAAAATTGTATTAAAAAAAGATTGTCAGAGTCACAGCTTCAGATAAGGCTTGCTTGACAGTGCAGTGTCTCCTTGTGGGCCAGGTGAAATCTAATGTGCCTGTGACCACTGCAATCTCTAGTTCTAATTTCTCCACAAATGAGCTGCACCCAGATGGGTGAGTACTCAAGTTGAGAATAGCCTCACCAGTGCACGTCTAGGTTGGGATAAAAGTCACTTTTCAGACTGCCAGTCTACCTCAGAAATGTCTGTTTCACTGTCCTAAGCCCTCATAAGCCTTCCTAAAGAAAGGGAATCTGAGCTAGATGTGATAGATATAGGTGGCACCCAGTAATCTAGACCAAGGCTGAAGAACTGCAACTTTGAGGCCATCTGGGCCATATATCAAGAACCTGTCTCTAAAATCCAAAAGAAAAGCATTGAAAAGGATGTGGAGTGGTGGAAAAAGAGCAAGGGGTAGTGAGGTTGTGAGGGAGATACAAATTACTGGTGACCAGAGACCTGCCCACTGCAGCTTGGAGTGTACAGTGCCAAAGCAGGAGCACTGGATTCCAGCAAAAGTGGTGGGTACCCAGCCATCTCCCTGGGTGCACTGCCCACTACATGTGGGCACAAGAAAGGATGAGCTCAGTTTTTTATAGAATAGTACATGGTGCTTGAATATGTACGGATCTATCAGTGGGCCTAGAAGAAAAAAAAAATCTGAGAAAACATAGTGGTTTGTAGTTTATTTTTGTTTTGTTTTGTTACTGTGGTGTGTGTGTGTGTGTGTGTGTGTGTGTGTGTGTGTGTGTGTGTGTG